ACAAAATACACAAACTAACATGCTGTACAATCTTTCATTTTATGCATGTACATACTTCATTCTACGTCTTTCAGTTTGTCAAGACAATGAAAGCACTTTTTTTATGCTTGAACCAAAACGGTGAAAACAATGGATATGCGAAAATGAATTTGTACGAATTTTACGAGGTGGAATTTTACGACCTCACTCGTTTGAATTTTGCTAAATCGTACATATTTTACGAATTGGCCAATTTGTATGAATTCTTTCGAATCACCTACCCCTGACCCCGCCCCTAAACCTACCCATCACGTGGGTTTAGACAAATCATACGAATTCGTACGAGTGAGGTCGTATGAATTAGTACGAATTAGCAACTTTTTAATCACTCATACGAATTCACACGAATTGGTCGAGAGATAGCGTTAAGAAATGTTCTGAAATGAATTCGCCACAGTCAGTAAATTGCCAATTGAGTAACAAACGGTTAACTTTTAGTTGTATCTGTATATTAAGCTGTGATAGAAGAAAATATCTTAAAATGGAAAAAGAATACACATACAAACAAATGATTTTCCTAACAGTAACATTAATTATATAATTATCATCACTTAAGTATAACTTAAAAAACATAATACGTTTAATACGTTTATTTTCTTGGATCCTAGAGCAGTGAGATTACAAATTACAGATCATTCTGGGAAGCAGTATGACGCAGAGGGAGTCGGGTGGGCTTTCTATTAGCAAACACAGCACACATTATGACACATTTGAAGACCAGCTTATTATCCGCCGTAAAAACGGTCACAAGGGAGAGATTCACCGCATCTTAGAATAGCGCATCAATAATTTCGCTTTTGTGTTTTATGTTCGGACCACAAAACGGACATGTTACGTAATGTCACTGAACCACTTTCCTCAGAAGGATGTCTAGAATACTCAACTGTAAGTGCCATGTCCTGATGAATGGTAATGGCCTTAAAAAAAAACATTTTCCATCTTTAAAAAAAAGATAAATAACCCTCTCCGCATGGAGGAAAGTCCATCTAAAAGCAGGTAAAGGGGATATAAGTGGCCGGGTCACATGAAACGACAAGTAGCTCAAAGCAAAGCTCACTAGAAGAGGAAACATCTCATCCTGACATTCAGAGCTAGGGTTCCTGGCTTTGTTGCATATTACAGAATTTACAGATGTTTGGGTCTATGGACTGTCAGACTAATTTTATATCATAAAGAAGCCACAGGACATATTTAACTTTCAAAGCAGAACCAATGACCTCCTGTTTAAAAAAAACATGAAAATCACAGGACAAGTGCAGTTTTCATTCCTTTCTACCGACAGCTGAGGGTAGGGAGGATATGATGTCATTGACAGGCGACGTAATAACATAGGCCGTGTCACTGGTTAAAATTTCATATTTCTATGTATTTAAAACATTGTTGGATAAATTTGGGTTAACGTATGTACACAAGTCAACAAAATATATAACATTGTTTTAATGGTTTGTGGATATTTTAATGCAAAAATCTTACATATTGTGCCTTTAAGAAGGGTACCTGTCCAAATGTATTACATATGCTAGCAAGCTATCATTGGTTCTTTATAAAAAAGACAAAATAGGTTTTAACTTCGATTAATATGGAATTTATTATGCAATTTGCTGAAAGGCAACAGCACGATTTCAATCAAACCCTTTATAATAGTGCAAATACAACTATTCAAATCACTATTCAACAAGGTTACCTTTACATTTATATGTACTGAACCTTTCTATAGACTGACTTTAAATTAAAAGGGTTTAATACATTCTAAGATTATTTCTTTCGGCCAAATATGCATTAGCACAATAGGTCCCTTCTAAATCTAAAGGGCAATAGGACAATCTAAATTAGCACATGTGAATGTGGTGGCATTAAGCACAGACATTCAGTCAGCATCAGGTTTAAGTCTAAAGAACCTTGGATACGTTTGTGTATAGCGTTCTCCATGCCTCTTGCATTGTAAGCCAACGCAAGCTTATCCTTGGACATCTTCACCTGCAGAGTGCAAAATGTCCGTAAGAGGCTTTCAAAGCAATGCAACAATAGTCTATTTATGCTAAACGCAGTTGGGGATCTATATACCACGCTCATGTAAGATTACAAATACAGCATAGCAAGTGTCTCCAGCTTTGCAGGCACATCTGTGGGTATAAAACCCATTTTCAACTCCATACTATATATAAAAACTTTAATAAAATGCTGAGCTCAACTGATCACAGGTGAAAAGCCTGAAGGGGAAAAGCTCACCTGTTAATACAAATCAAGAGACAGCAATTGTTAGGCCCATGGAACAGACCTCATAGTAATGTTCATTATGAACACCGCAGGCTAAGATGACTCCAACATGCTTTAATTGCATGGAAGCAGCCACTGTAGAGGGACAAACCAAGTGATCCGAGCGACAGCGACCTCAGACAATAACTACAGTTGCTAATCCTCCTCCGTCATTACGGTCATGGTTTCTTACCACGCTTAGCAAACTAATGCTGTGTTTTCCTGTGTGGATTAGCGAGCTGACTTAGCGCCGAAACATGTTTCCTCCCTCTGAAACCAACATATGATCCCTTTAGTCTGAAGAACTGTTAAAAACAGACGCACAAATGTCTTGCTTTCACAGCTAAATCGCTTATTTTCGATGCAATTTGCGAATTGCATCATCTGCTGCACTCCATCACGTTTTGAATGAAAAATTACATTAGCATCCTCAGCGACATTTTAGCCAAACATTTAAACAACCTTGGGGTCTACATCACCAATGCAGTCCATATTGAGAAGACTCGCAAGACTGCACAATCTCTATAAGCGGACAAAAAGTGTATGTAAATATTTGCTGACTTGTTCTTATCTTCACATCCTCTCATAGAATAATACATAAGATGAAAAGAAATTCCATCCTGAAGAACCAATTCTCTGTACGATGCTTTAGAACTCATTTTCAGTTCCTGTCCCAAAGGCAGCTACATCACAAGCACAATCAGGCAGTTTAGGATGAAAAAGAACTGGGCCTATGGTGTTGTACTCAGCCACAGACAGCAAGTTCAACTAATATGTACACAACCAACCATAATATTCATGACAACAGTAATAATGTCAATTTGTATAAGTATTCAGGAATTGCCTAGGTTTTAAGAATAACAGCTTTCATTTTATAAATTAAACGAGCCTGTAAACTCACATCCTTGTGTTTTATCGGCCACCATTTTTGACAAAAAACTCGCAAAATTTGCATTTGAGGTTATTAACCACATACCTAATTTTACTTATAAATGGAAAGTCACCATTATTGTTAATTCCTGAGGAAACCCAATGGCTCCAAAATGCAAATTCACTCCATGGGTTTGATACTACAACTGAAAAACTCGTCTATATTTAGACGTCTAATTGATGGACTATTCAGACCACAGTAATGCACGAGAAAGGTGTATCCACATTAGCACATTAGACATCCATTAATACCCAAGAGGACTATCCTTCGATTGAAACAGTCAGCTCAGATAGCTCCCTGTGTTGTATTATTTGCTTTGCTACATAAGTTATTGCTTCAAATAATACAATAATTTACATGTCACTATTGATGCAAATTGATCAAAGAAGGATAGACGCGTGAGTAGCTATAGGCTATATCCTGTCAGAAATGGCGCGCTTTCATAGTCGATTGTTGTAATTAGCTACTTTATTAACTTCCCTCTAAAAGTTTAAATCCAATTTTGACATGATTATCATTTTTTATTGATACCTAAAACAAAAATCAAGAATAAATTTTGATATTTCAGCTCGTTTTCTGGACCCAAACCGTTTGGTTTAATTCAATATACCCAAATGAAAACCGAACAACTCTCGCACATTAAGTCAATGCATATTCTCATTATTCTGACATGTTCAACACAGTTAAACCCCCACATGAAGCAGGCGGGCTTCTCAAGGGGTAAATATCGTGGATGAACGCTTGAGCAAATACAGCCTTATTAGCATAATTATAAACACACCACTGATATGAAGCCAATAGTAACTGACACTAACGAAGACAAATGTGAATATTCTGTTTCCGACACATCGGCTATCGCTTGAGGAGAATAAACGACAAGAACGAGATTATTCCAAAATAGAGGTTTAATTTTAGTCGTTGTCTTCTGGTTTGAGTGGGATGTTATGACGTATTCAATGTCAGTTGTCCAGTGGAACGTCACGCCACAGTGTAACGCGTTCTAGTTCCGTGACGCACAACTGAACGTGTTGTAAGAGCAAATATGATCAGATAAGTAAATATGCGCGTTTTTCTGTTGGCTACAAGCTATTAATATTTTCGCGTGTTTCATTACTCTGGCACCTGTTTGGTTAATTTAACAGATATATTTTGAAAAACTGGGTTCGTATTAATTAAACATTCTCCTTATAAATATGCATATAATCATATCATAATAAAAACTCAGGTTCATCAGCGAGAACTGCATATGTCAGATTGCACAAGGAAGCGTTGGGGGTGGCGGTGGCGGGAGTATTTCCCCATTGAAAAAGAAAGAAGACGAAAAAGAGACTCTTTAATTATGAATTTTCTAAGCCTATATGCCCCAGTTTCGAATGAAAGCGTTCAAAATCAAACTGCCATAGAAAGGCAAGGTCCCCAGACATGCTATATGAGGGACAATATAGCATGCATGCAAGCAACAATGCAAAGGTTCAAAACTGGGAAGATAAGTTCTTTCTAAACAATGCACGTGTAAAACAGTGGCTCGTGTAAATGGACCTTTCAGCAGGCTAAGGGTTTAATGTTGACATGACAGACAGTGCCACAAAATGGCACGTATGATTTAGGCTATAATATTACAAAATGCATGGTTCGTAATGGATAATGCAGAAGACAATATTAAAATATGCATACGTCTAATTATGAATGTGTCACTAAGAAAGAAAACATTGTTATAGGCTAGTGTTAACCACCCAAAAATCACAGACTCTGTTAAGGGGAATCACGCGTTTACCTTTGTGCATGCCGGTGTATCGGTCCTTTAATACTGTCAATTCGTGGATTTTTCCAAACTGTTCGAATAATGGTTTCAGGTCTTTTTCCTCAAGGTTCCGCGGTATTTGCCCGATAAATAGTTTTATGGCATCTTGGTCTTTCATGGTGCCGTTCTCCTGATGAATGGAGATGGATTCTGACCCGTTCATGGGATTAAGGAATGGGATCTGAGCGTACTGGTGCTGGTGCGGGATTAGGAGGAGTGGATGTTGGGTCGGTGCTGCCCCGGGTCCAGTGAAAAGCAGGCTGGAGTAAGCGGGATGGGGCGGCTGTGGGTGCTGCTCCCTTCTTGTCTCAGTCTGAGTGAATCTGGCCATTCTGAGCTGGGAGCAGACTGGATAATAATAATGACAACACACATACACACACAGGCGCACACACACACTAAGAGAGAGCGAGCAGTCAGCTGGAAACACAGACTTACTTTCTCGGCGATACACATTCGCACACATACACACAGTCGAAGCGATGTTTAAGGGGTGGGGGAGACGACGCGCCATTTGTTGCTCCAGAGCGACACCCAGTGGCCAACGCGTGCTATCGGGTCCACACTCAACGTGGAATGGATCGACTAAAACACTACAGTTTTCTTCAGAGTAGCTACTTTCGTTCCGAACACAAACACGACAACGAAAAGGATTAGACGTTTATGGTCCATTTGAGCCTCTGGACACGGAGTAAAATACGAGTGCTTTGGACAAAGTGGACGTTTGCAAAGCACCACTGAATACTGTGTGTTGTGTTACATCCGGGTAAATTAATATTATGCAATTTGGTCTTGATCGAACACATCCTACGGAAGTAGACGTGCTGTTTTTGCGGACATCATGTGGATTGACAGTCTATTATTCAATTTTATTACAGTTGGACATTTATTTAAATATTAAAAGGTAGAAATGTGTCATTCACTCAAAAAAAAAAAATGCTGGGTTGTTCTATCCCAATTTTTGGGCAAAAATGTACAAACCCAAACGTTAGATTAAAGGGTTAGCTCGCCAAAAAATTAAAATTAAGTCAAATTACTCACCCCCATGCTGTACATATTTACAGCATTAACAAGTTAAAACAACTCAGCATTTTTGGTATAGTGTCTAAATGGGTCATTAATGTTGTTAAAAGGCATTTTAAAGTCACTAACAATGACTAATAAATGAATAAAGATATAGACATGAACTAAGCAATAAACATTAACTAAACAACATAAAATGTCACGTTAAACAAATGCACATTATTTATATCTATAAAAGTCCTGTTAAAAATACAGGAAATGTAAATATCACATCTCCGAGTTTATTTTTATTTTTAACAGGACTTTTAACTTGCTTTGTTAAATATAATTTATGTTCACAGTAAATTAAAATTCATTCTTTTTAGTCAAATTAAACATTTTTCACAGTAATTTAATTCATGAAAAAGTACTTTTCTGTTGAATATATATATATATATATATTTCAGTTTAGTCTATAACTTTATAACTTAGACTTTGAGTAACTTACGGTTAACTAATTAATGGTTTAACCTTAGAATTGTTCAATTTTCTTTTCATTGAAATTACTAAGATATTTATAGAGTAGTCCCATGATATATTTTTTATAACTTGGAATACCATTTTTGGCCTTTTTTATTAGGGTGCTTAAAGTCCAAGGCTTTCGACTGAATAATAAGTACCCAGAAATATGATAACATTTACACAATTCTTATTTATTCTTATTGCATTTATAGTCAATGCTGTTTTCAGTCCCAAATACTGACTGTGAGAATGTAGCCATATTTTATAAACTAAAAAGCAAACAGACGCAACAGTGAGACAATTGTTTCTGTTCTCCTTTACTTATAAAACATAGGAGAATGGCCTTTGATCAGGTTGCTTTTATCTGTCAGAAGTAGATAGTAGCATCTTTAAATAAATCTGTGGTTTAGAATTGTAGAAGGCCTGCTTAGATCCCACTTTATTGACAAAACGCTACCAGAACATCACTTAAAATTTCACTGCTCACGAGGAAAGATGTCCTTGCAGGACTTACTTGAAGTTGTACCTCAATAACTTCAGAATATGTCCATTTCCTCTCTAAAATAGCTGTCACATCGCCACCCTGGTGGGAATCTTGAATGTGTGGAAAGAATGAGAAACACAACATCAGGCTAAACTGGCAGTATCAATGTTTATAGGAACTAGAAGACAAAGCAATTTCATAACTACAAGTGATAGAGCAATATCTACACTTCATCCTCTTGGCAGGAAATGGCATTGAACTTTTATATAACAGATCAATACCTGACTCAAAACGGGCCTTTCAAAATGATATGTGACAGTCAAAAGTTTTACAATATCTGAGAATGAATCAAAGTGTCCGCCCTTTATTTCACGATCCAATCAATTCTTGATTTATAAAGCATTGCCCTATTTATTTGTTTTTTGTTGAATATTCTGCAATACATTAGATTATGAAAGTTGGTCAAACATTTTATATGGACTTTAAATTTATTTTCTAAATGAATGTATTTAAGTATGGAAGCGTGTTTCCGCCACAGAATAAAAAAAACCAAAAAAAAGTATTTGCAACTTTTTATCTTGCAATTCTGTGAGATAAAACGTCGCAATTATCTTTTAAAATGTTTCATTCTGTGGTGGAAACAATCTTTCACATTTTAAGCATTTGTGCGTACAATCAAATAACTGTCAAATAAAAAAAATACAACTGTGGCTGTCAAAATTCATTCAGAATAAAATTTCCCACTGAAGGCACTAGATGAACAATTGTGTGTTTAAAGACACAATGTTACGGAATTAGTGACAGATCTATTTTTTCCCCCGTATTGTTACGTACGAGTTATTATCACAAAAGAAATAAATGTTGGCTGGTTTTGTGGTGCGTTCAAGTCTTGTCGAAAGATTGTATTTACGAATTGAACGCACATGAATACCACCACAAAGTCGTAAATACGAGTGGGAAGCTCAGGATTTTCTTTGTGCCCCAAACTTTGTGTTGAGAAGCATAGCTATCACAATATAGGTAGAAGCCAATTTATCAGTGACATTGTCAGGCTTTTTATTTACAACAAAATAAGCTAATTGCCTGCACAAAATATACAAGCATTGTAATGTGTATAAAAACAGCTTTACGATCAACCACACAGTTTCGTTGTTTTCTGGGTTAAAAAGATTCAAATTATTACAGAAGTACTGGGATAAAAGTTTATAGTTCAGATATAAACACTGATGTCTACGGAAGTGATCAATATAGTCATATCACTTTTTGAAAGTAGCTAGCTGCTTTAAAGGTGCAATGTGTAAAAATGTATCAATTAAAGGGCTGATGAACTGAGAAATCAAATTTTTCGTTGAGCTTTTGACATCTAGAGGTCATCATATTATAAGAATATCCTGTAAGTTTCAGAACTGAAAACGTCCGTTTTAGTCCAATAAAAGCGTTTATTGACACCAGCCTCAGCAAACGACGTTTTTCAAAGTGGGGAACTATGACGACAAAGAGGATAAAACAACACCCCTGCAGAAGAAGATCAACGCCTACTTCAACATGGCCGGTTTAGCCCCGCCCACCGATTCGCACATTACACGTATATCAAAATAACATAGATGCCTACCTTGTGATGACAAACCGGATCGAGCTACCGAGCAATACAAAATATTGTGCAGTGCCTGGTTGTGGAAGAAGACAGTCGATGCATATGCTTCCTCTGGATTCAAAAAGGACTGAATTGATAAACTTTATTTTTAATGACATTCCAGCTGATGAGGTGAAACATTGTCCGTCTGTTTGCTTATTCATTTCACTGAGGATTGTTTTGTAAACAAGACTGGATTTGCAGACCAATTAAGAGTAAAGAACGGTGCTGTGCCGTCTATATTGGATCTGACAGGAATTGTGCAACACATGGACTCTGGGTCGAACATGTACGGGCGAATCATTCCGGTTGCCATTTTACAACTTTGGACGTTTTCAAAACAATTTCCCCCAAATGCATCAACGGGTGAGTTAAAACTCATTATAATATGCAAAACTGTTATCCATTCACAGCAGTGGGCGTTTACTTCCAAGTCTTCAATGCGAGATGCCCATCAAAACCCAGCGTTTTTCCGGTAGGCTCAAAACTAGGGTACAAAATAGCCTATTACTTATTCATTTTGATGTGTTTGAATGCAAAAACCAAGCGAACGTTATAAGTTGACCTCATAATAAAATTTAAAAAGCCAGTTCATGACCCCTTTAAATAACTGTTATATTGATTACATCATTAGGCCACTAGGTGGCAAGTTACTGTTAAAAATATGTATTTGTCGTTGGATCATTCATTCAAGAGATTCGTTCAGTAATGAAACAACTATTTATGAGTGAGTCACTGAGTCATTCAATTCTATTTTTATTCATCTGATTTTTAAAAAATAATTCTTTCAAATTAATTAACATTTTTAGACAGCAACAAATACATGTTATTTTGTTTAATTGCATGTTCAGAATCGTGATCTCTATTTGAATAAAAAAAATCTCAATTTATCCAGAATTGTGCAGCTCTAATGCAATGATAAAGTTTACAGTGGCTTCCTAAATGAATTAAAAAAAAAACATAAAAAAGCAAAACACACCTGATTCAAATTCTTTGTTCTTCATTTTCTAAAAAATTAGAGTTAAAAAAAAAGACCTTGCTGTATTTTTGTAGTTAATTAAGAGAAGGTACACCACTATCTTGGTCCGAACAAAGTGTGTTGAACGCACCTGGCGTCGTAAACGCGACTACCCAACTCGAAAATACGAACTTCCCAGGAGGATTTGAACGCACCATTCATCCAATCCATCGGTTGTTGATGGGATGGAGGCGGTTCTTATAATGCCAGCTTGCAATCAATTGAAAGGGGTGGAATTTAAGCAGACAAAATTATTAGTCCAGCATACTTCACCAGAAAGAAGATTGAGTTATGTTATGTTGGATTTAAAAAAAAAAAACTTGCCAGGTCAAAAATAAATACATGGATATTGAATTATCCACAATAATGATTATTAAGATGCATTTAAAAAATAGATGGGTTCATTTCCATTCCAGGCCGACTTTAAGTAAGTTGGTGGTGATGCAGTATGTGCGGGCTATTTTAGGCCTGAGTTTGATAGAAGTGAGGAGTGAGAACTTCCAGTTCATGTGCGTTATTAGCGCCAACCAAAGAAGTAGCATTACAATTTAACATGCAGACGTTTTTTAGCCGCTGGTGGTTAAGCACTCAGTGGGTGTGGAAAGGCAGTCAAGCTTGGCCTCCCCAGTCTACGGTAAGTGGCTGGGACTCAGGGGAGAGTCGTAGACAGCTGAAGGGGGCACTTAACACACTGTACAGCCGCTAACAT